CCACAGTGTGTTCCTACATTGGAGGAGTCTGGACCGTCATCTGACGAGTGTTTTAATGGTGCCGGCAGTGTTCACACAAGAACAATCAGCGGGGTTATCTTCTGATGCATTATTAAGATTGTCATCCGTCTTGCCTGGCTGAGGTGAATGGGATCAAAACTGAGTCCTATGAGGACAGGAGGCGTGAGGAGCATACCAGGAGCGAGGTAGAAAGGCATCGCCTAGAGGACAAAAAGTCACCTAAGGGTAAACGGGAGGAACCAGGTTCACAACCAGAGATCAAGTCGCGTTCTGCTGGACGGAGCGAAAGTGGACCTACGGCCGCTACAAAGAAGCGTAGCCGGGAGAAGAAAGATGAAGAAGAGGTGACTAGGAAGCGTCGCAAAGAGAAGAAGGCACCATCGACAGTTTCACATGCACCTGAGGAGGAGTAGGCACCAAGCAGTAGCAGTGTTTGCGATGAGCCTGATGAGCCAAGGCTGAGCTCTACTCTTCAGACGCCGGTGGAGAGCTCCCAGAGATAACACTGTCGCCTTCCCTTCCGCTGATGATGGATCTAGAGGAACCCCACAGCCATGAGGAGCCAGTCATGCCGCCGAGAGGGAAGCCACGAGGGATGATAAAAATGATGAGGGATGAGGCCAAACAACGCGATGGTCAGGAAACCTCTGCTAAGGGGGGAGAGAACATCCCAATCCTGTCAACACCACTGCACCTAGACAGGCTGCTACTGGGACAGGCAGTCCGGATCAGGGAAGTTAAGGACACCTACTTGTATAGAGATGGAGACAAGACACTGTCTCAGATGTTCCTTATTTTCTTACTTACCTTTTTCCCCTATTTGTTTTAACTTACCTCTAAGGAAAATAGTTGTTTCCTAAAGTTAACTTACCAGGACTATTCCATTTTTCCTCCCCTTCAGCTTTTATTTTGGCCATGAGTTGTTCTTCCATTCCTTTAAGCTGTTTTTCACATGTTGTTCTTATGTTCAGTGACGGTCTTTAAATAGTTTCTTTACTTCTGTAGGAGTAGTTAAGTTAGTATGCAGCATGCAGATGACAATAAAGCTAGCAGCATGCACCAGGCTGCACACACCCGGACTATGTTTCTTTATTTCAGTTACAAGACATTGTTATAAATGAGGTTAGGTATTCATGATACATGTATTACATAAGAGGGTTATGTGTAGGTTTCTAGGAAAGCCACTTCGATAGTTGTTAAGGGAAGTACTTTTTTATTGAGTGTTGAGTGTGCTTGAGATAGAGAGAGAGAACCTTGCTGGGGGTAGCCACTTCACCAATTTTGATCTGTTGCAAAGTCTGCGCTTCAGCCAACACATTATCCAGGTGTTGGAGCCAGTTGTTTTTTCAACAAGAAAAAGTAAAGCTTGACGAAAGTCGTCAAGGCAGACCGTTGCCAATCTGCAATTTTTAGCTTTGGCGTAGCCAAGATTGCCTGGCACATTGAGTAGCAGTGGCACAGATACCCAACCTGCGAGATCAAGACACCATTTCTGAAGAGAACTCGTAAGTTTAATTTTCTGGTTATTTCACTTAAGTTTATTATAACTCCAATTTACTCACAGTAGCATCTTTTCGCCTAGAAAGTGACTATTGAAATTGTTATTAGAGGATCAAACTTGCTTTATTTCTGGCAGAAGCCGGGGGCATAGAACCTCCATCAGATGTATGCATAATGTGCAACAAAACCTGACACCACCAGTACCTGGCAACACCACCATCAATATTTGAGTCTTGTATCATTTACTTATTTTTTTTATTAAGAACCAGAAGTTCTAAGAAGATACTTTTTTTTTCAATTTAAAAATTCAAAAAAGTGGTTGGTAATTGTAAGATTGAAAGAGGAACTCTTGAAAATTTGTGAATTGAGAAGAAACAAAAACCCTTGAAAATACTTTAATAATTTCCTATAAATAATAGAGAACTGATTTTGTCTAAAGAGGAATTACTTCAGTTGATTGATTTAATCTATCATCAGAAATTTAATACGATTTTGGAGGAAATATATCTCCTGTGAATGTGTAACTATGATTATTTGTAAATAAATTGTAAATGTTGTAATATAGTAAAGAAACTTGAGTTCTTCCCACCTTGAGACACCTAAAGGCAAAGAAGTCGACACAGCAACATACCTCACCAGGTCCAACATCACAGGGAGAAGGTCGCTTAATATGCAGGTTGATGAAGACCGATTGTGATTCAGTCGGAGCACCTTATTCGGATGAGGGTCTCATCAGTGCCATGATGGGTAGAGTCAACCGCGTGATGGAGACTACTACACGACAGGTGTACCATGGAGGCAACAAAGTGCCCAAGGACAAAATACAGCGCACCTACGATATGGATTTCCTGGCTGGAGTTGCACAGGATCCTTTGGAAGTTTTGTTTTCTTGTAAACTAAAGGAGAGTTTTGTATAAGTGTGTGACCCTGCGCGCCAGGCGGTAGACTGCCCCAAAACGGACCTGTACCCCTGGCCTTCCCCACAGCCACTCGTCAGGTCGGTAGAGAGCAATATCCAAGGCATCATCGACACAAGACCAAAACAATACTTTCTCCGAAATGCAAAAGTCAATAAAGAGGCTTTGAATGACTGCTCTCAACATCCAACTGGGGATGACTTTGAAGGTGCATTGTTGATAACTTGCCCAGGTGCTAGACAGGTTCCCCCTCCCAACAATTATAATAAGTTTACTAAATAAATAAATAAACAAGAGGTCTATATCTGTTTGAAACAGCCTCAAAATTTAAAAAAATATGTATAAAATCACATGATGAGGTCATGATGACGTCACCTCAATTTTCACCTATAACACAGCCCGTTGACCTGGTCTACCTACATACCAAATTTCATCCTGATCGTACTTTAATACAGTTCTCTAGATATAGGGCTGTTAAATTTGCACATTTAAGATGACGTCATGTGACCCATGATGACATCACTATGACGTCACTATGACGTCACTTTGACGTCACTCTTCGGGACGCAACCTTGCTATAGGGACTATGCCTATGGTAACTTTGAATGATGAAGGACAAAGATTAATGCCAAAAGTGGCACCGACAAAAGACATGTACAAAGTCTATGACATTTTTGGAGTAGAACAAGAAGAAGAAGAAAGAAAAAGATCAGATCAGAACAAAAACAAAGGCTTTTCCGCAACTCTGCGGAAAAGCCTATAAAAAAATATATACATTCTAAATCCAAATTCCAGTAGACGTACCGGCACCAGTTCAAGCCCATCAAGATGATCGTGCATGCTGGCCCATTTTAGATCACCATTTCTTGGTGAAAAAAAAAAAACAAAGTGAACAAAACAAAACGGAAACAACAATACCAATATAGCATAAAAGGCCATCAGCCTGGGGGATTGGTCAGTATCAAATGAGGGGAATAATGGTCATTGTGGTTTTTGGCAAGGTATGCACCCCTGTAGTTGGAAAATATGTGAAAGCATTGCAGCAGTGGCAGCTTTTTGTGTGCCATCACCTTTTTTTTAAATGGCAGCCAAAACATGTTTCCACATATAATTAATCCGGTTCAAGCATATTGGCGGCCATTTTGAAAAAGAAAAGTAAAAGTGATAACATCCAAAAAACTGCCACCGCTCACACTACAAAGCTATCACACATTTTTTAAATTCTAGATGTGTATACATGTACCTTGCCAAAAATTGCAATGGACATTGCTCTTTTCAGCCATTTGAAACCGGTGGCCCAATTTTTTGACGGAAGCTGATAGCCTATAATTGATTAATGACATTATCAAATAACCTTAATTCACTGGCATCATAAATGTGTACGTTTGGCATTCCATACCGGAAAACTTGGCTTAGGTCCTCTGGATTATTTTATCCCAAATCGCCCACTGTTTGGTCTCAACGTTTCGACTAGCCTGCTCTAGTCATCGTCAGGAGAACTTAAAGCAGGACTGTTCTTATCAAAACAAAAACTACATAGCGAAGGTTGAAGCAGGACAAGTTCTTTTCGGAACTAAATATCTTCTAAGCAGTAGTTATTACCACATGGTGTTACCGCAAACCGAAACAACACACATATCCTGTATTACAAATTATATTTATTTTTGTGGGTTTTTTTTTGGGGGGGGGGGTTGTTTCTTCTTGTCATAGTGAGCCCATCACGTGGGTGGGTTTCTATCACCGATAAAACACTGGCTGGGCTTTAAACATTTATTTCCTGTACCGCTGCATTCTAAGCCACAATCGCAATACGCTCCGCACATTTGCTATCTCCATAAGGCCAAAAAAAAAAGTCTCCGGTTTCTGGTATGCGCGCACGTCGCCGTAGCCATGCGCGTCGGCAAAATGAAAAAGGTTTTTTTTTCAATACAAGATGATGTCTCAAAACCGCCAAACTCACTGGTTTGACTGGAATCCTGCTGCTGCACAATTTTAACGTGTTTTTAGATGGGGCTATGATCGAGAATAAGCTTTATGTGGCCTCTCTGGACTCCCATATATTTGCACTAAGTTTAGTCGGGCACCATTTGCAGTCATCAGCCGACATTTGAAGCCAAAAAAAAAAAAAAAACAGGTAAAAAAAAAAAAAAAGCCGCGTCGCCGCACCACTTTTGGGGCAAGCTCCATACCAGAAACCGGAGACATTTTTTTTTTGGCCTAAAAGAAGCTTTTTAGCAATAAGCAAATGAGGCACACACCATATACTTTACATGGCCAGAGGTGTGTTTCACAAAATGTGAGGTACAAGTTTTGAACCAAATTGTTGGAAAATTGTGATTTTTGAATTGTTTTGACGTTTTGCCCAAAAGGAATTTATGAACAAGTACATTTAAAACCGTGGAAGGGCCTGTGGTCGCTGATAATGGCCCTCGCCTTCAGCTCGAGCCACTGTCCATGTCCAGCCCCATAGCCAGTTTTAACGTACTTGTTTAAAACTGTCCAGGAACCCGTTTATTCCCTTATTAACATACATTGTGTTGTCTTGTTATTGTTATTTTCCAGCATTACATTAGGAGGTTTTGGAGCAGACAGGTTCTACCTAGGCTACTGGCGGGAGGGCCTTGGCAAGCTCTTCAGTTTTGGTGGGCTGGGTGTCTGGACACTTGTTGATGTTGTACTTATAGCAGTGGGATACATTGGGCCAGAGGATGGATCCTACTTTATATGAGGACAGAGGGGAACATGAGGAAGCTGCATCTACTTTGCGGGGGGAAAAATCACGCCACATCAGCTGAAAATGTCATTGCTTATATTTTAACTACATGTACATATGTGACTCCCCTAATCCACCCCTAAAAAAACCATTCCGAGACTACTGTATAGTTTGTAGGCTTTACGTTTGTGTTAATATGCCAGCTAATATGTTCAACCTGTTTGTTATCAAAAGAAAACAAAAGACCAGGATAAATCCCCGTCTCCACAAGAATTAGTAAGGTGGGTGGAATCATTACCAACTGGTCCAAAGCGCCAAATTCCGCATGTAGACTCTATGGGCCATACAAAGCATATTTAGAAAGGGTGACACCTGAATTTTTTTGAAAGCTACCTAATATAGGGCCGCCGTGCCATATAAGTATACACATACATAGTTTGGGGTTTCAATTGATGTATTCTTAATTCAACATTTTCTAAAGCATAAAGGTGACTAGATAATTATCAGAAGATATGAAAGATCCAAAATCTTACCCCAAAGTTGCGCACTTTTACCTTTTTATCAAGAAGGCTTGCCAAACCTCAGCATTGATGAGCTTCAAATTCACAAAGTTACAAAGGGTTGCCTTAAGTGTGGGACTTGAACAAGTTCAAAGACGTCCCTCAAAAGAATAGATTATGGTTGTTTTATGTTAATGTCAAATATTTTCTTACATGTAAATTTGGGGATGTCTTTGAACTTGAACTCTGGTCTAATTTTAAGCCCAATTTCCTAACACTTCTATTCCCCTTCCCCTTTTTTTTCTTTTTTAATTGGGGTAACTGTGCCAGTCTCAACTTTGTGAATTCAAAGTTCTTCAATACTGAGGTTTGGCAAGACCACTTGATGAAATATGTGAAAAGATAAATGTGCCCAACTTTAGGGTATAATGGTAGCCCTTTTGGATCCATAATAAGTCCTCATTATTGAGAGAGACAACTAAAGATCAGCCATATCACCAATTCATTGAATGGCTGCAGAAATGGATGGAACAAGGACATAGATATGCCTGCCTGCATCTAAATCCATTGTCTTACTGGAAACAATTTCACTACATATATTTCCTTGGCATTGGAGGCATAGAGGGTACTATCTCTTGCCCAAGGTGACCCCTAAAACTAGTGGAGGGAAGGAATCGTCTCATCCTCTATTTAAGACCGGCTCCGTGCAAGGTTCCAAGCAAAGCCAAACCACTAGCCCTACTATGGTTGATTGAGTAGTAGGTGTATGGGATTAACCATTGAGTGATCATTAGGCCCTGCATCCTGCGCATGTGGGCATCAACACATGTGCCTCCACAATGCCTTAGTGCATTCCCAATGAGCCAAGTGTGGATTCACTGGATTGGTATATTTATCAGTATGCAAATATTGAGTGGTCTTAAATTGTGAAATAGGAGGAATATTATCGCAAGGTTAAATCTGGACTTTTCCAGTTCACGAGGCAAAGCCGGGTCAACTGGAAAAGTCCAGATTTTACTGAGCTATGTTAGTTCCCAAAGTTATTGGAAGTTGAAAAAACTAGGTTTTGTTAAATTATGGCAAAACTAGCAGCCGACATGAGGTATATATGAGGTATATATATGAGGTATAGCATTATTCTAGAATGCTGCAATACTGCGTCAGTATCCGAGAATCTGCATCATGGTACTTGGGACATATGACAGAAGACTTCAGTCACCAGAAACCTGAATTTGAGAACATATATTTATCTGTTGTGGAAAAGCCTTTATTACATTTGTTTTTTGGGTCATATTTTGTTTCTTCTGATTTATGTCTTCTTTGTTCTATCCTAAATTACATAGCCTTTGTAAAAGAAACATTCCGGGAGGCATTTTCAACATTTAGAAAACTAATTTGTAATCAAACTTGGCTCAAACAACACTTACATGTTCTAAAGTGCATGGATATTTATTACCTTAAAAATACTTACAAAGTACTGTTCTCAGACATAATGAGCGTGTTCGATTACTCCCCCTTACTCGTGCCTCTAAATCAGGAAAAGTTGCATATGTAAATGATCTCTGGTCACTCGACAAGTGACATGCGCAATACATGAGAGTAAACAAATGATCTCGGGTACGTGGCCATAATGAATAATAAACGTTAAATATCGAAGCCCCCTTTTAAAGTGGTTGGTTTTTAATATATTGAAGGTGACATACTTCACTGAAGCCATGCTGCTTTAGACACACAATGGGTGCGTTCGAGCGTGCTACTCATGTTAACACAAGTATACTCCTGAGCACCCGAACGGCAGGAGTACGACCCGCAGGTCAGCAAGAGTATACTCTCCATCATACCGGGAGTATACTCCTGCACTGAGAGTAATGCGCACGCAACATTTTCCTGCACTTTGGAGTAGCAAGAGTAACACGCTCGAACGTACCCAATGTGTCAAATTTCCGCCCATTGTCTTAGAGTTATTTGGATACAAATTTTCGTTTTTGAACTTCCCACAACTGGCACATTACATTATGTGATACTTTCTCGAATAACTGGCTCAGCAGCTCGGTTACTTGGGCCAGGCTTGAGTAAGCGCCAGAAGTCATAGTTAATAGAGAGTTGAATACATGTACCTCTAAAATGTAAGCAGTTTCATTTGCAATCTTTTGACAACTAAAACCACAGGTCATGTGGGTGATTCAATCAAAATAGGAGCTAAGTCAGATTCTAGAGGGTGTCAATTCAAATTCAACTCAACTGTTCATAACATACATGTAATATAATATTCAGATGGAAATAAAATGTGATTAGGTTAAACATTAGAAAAATTGACTGCACATTAATCTTAATGTCATTTATCTTTGACTATTGCTTCATGCTAATACACTCAACCAAAAAAAGAAAGTCCCCCCTTAATACTTTTTTGTCTAACTCAAAAACTACTGGGCAAATCTTGCTCAAATAACAACTGATCAGTACAGATATTCCTTAGCAATCCAGCCATACTCTTTGTTTGGCCCAAAACAGTAATAATGTGTACAAAATTATGCAATTTATGACAAATGGTACCGGAAAAAAAGTTGCACTTTTGTATACGTGCAAGGTGAGTGTGAACCACAACTTGCACGTATACAAATCATTTGTTATAAATTGCATGAATTCGTACACAATGGGTCGTATGTATAAAAACTAGCATTTACTTTTACTACCCATTTGTAAGCATTTACTTGCATTTGTATGAATAAAAATGAAGCAAATGCTTTTACTGGAAAGCATTTGCTGAAAGCTAAAAGTATTTACTTTTTACTTGCTAGCTTTCGCTAGACTAGAAGTGTTTACTTCATTTCGTATGAATAAAAAGGAGTAAATGCTTCAGATTTCAAGCATTTACTTGTCATTTTTCAAGGCTGGGTTCGGGCAACCTTAAAAATATAAAGCAAATACTTCTGCGCAAAAACTGCTGCATTTATTAATATTAATCGCCCTAAAATTGACACAAAACGTTAATAAACTACATATAATACCATACACTATATTTTGACTAACACTATGCGCAATTTAAATACTTTTTTATGCATTTTATTACTAGAATTAGAAACGATAATTTCGCATTTAGTTGTTCACGATATGAGAAGTGTTAGCGTAACTTCAGTGCGGCACAGAAGGATTAAGGATACATTTTATCCAACGGCACCCTGGGGACTGAACAAAATGAAATCATTTGTTTAGTTTATTATGTCACCAATCTTTGCACACTATTATTTTTCTTTTATATTTCAATAAGCAAAACTCTTTGTGTATCGAATGTTAGTATGATTTTACCCACTTTAACAAGTCTGTGATTTTTATGCAATTGTGACGTTTACACAGGACACTGTGGACCTTTACAATTTTCATGAATGATGAAAGTATACTTTTTGTATTCTGCAACAGTCGAAAAGTGTCATCATTTTTGCTGGATTTGAGGATCAAAATGTATGTACTACTACATGTACTGTATGCATCACCTTGATTTGGACTATTACACCACCTGTAAACCTGTGTGTGTGCGGCAGTTCGTACACATAAAAGAAACCCTATTGTGGGCAATCATTCGTCCATGAAAACAATCCAACAGTAAGAAGCATTTGCTACCTGTTGTCTAGTAAATGCTGAACAGTAAAGGAAATCTTTTATTCATACGAAATCAAGCATTTGCTTTTCCTTAATGCTTGTACTCTAAAGTAAATGCTTTTACTTTTTGCTTAAACTTCCTAGCATTTACTAGTTTTTATACATACGACCCATTATCACTGTTTTGGGCCAAATAAAGAGTATGGCTGGATTGCTAAGGAATTTCTGTACTGATTAGTCTTTATTTGAGCAAGAGGTGCTCAGTAGTTTTTGAGTTAGACAAAAAAGTATTGGAAGGGGGACTTTCTTTTTTGGTTGAGTGTACAATGTATTGTAATATTCAGATGAAGATGACAAAACCTGATTAAGTTACTTTTTTAACCCGTACTGAGACCGTAGTGTTAATCGTACATCAGTGTATTTTCAGAAAATGTTTTTTGTTAAAATCTTAATTATTCTATACCAAAAATTCTGAAAAGTAAAATGAAGAACCCCTTCAGTAACGTGTCCAATATTTAATTTTTAACTTGTGTTTTATTTTTTCAATTTCCTTTTTACTCTTAATCAAGGCATTTGCAACCTTCTGAAAAGGCTTTTATTGGTGGTGGTTTTGCTCACAAACCGATCCACCCTGCAAGTAGACTGGTTTCCGGTCTAAACATTACCAAAAACGGTGGTGAGAACCAGTCCACACTGCCAGAACTGGATTATTGTCAAATTGCAAATAAATTCAATACTTTTGAGTAACAGGCTTTCACATACAAAATGCACGATCAACTTGTGAACTCCCATACATGCACACACATACCGGTATACTTCGTGCTTTATAAGGCTGTAATGTATGACATCGAAGTATCACTTGACCATCTAGTTTCTCTGTGATTGGCCAACATTGCAACAGGCAAGCATTTGGTTAGAAACCACGCCCTGCAATGTATAATACTAGACATGAATTCTTATCCAATGGCATAATGGCGACTATTTGTGCTGTGTACGGTTGTCATGATCATGCCGACCCAGCACTGGGTGTTCGATCCATGTTTTTCTCACAGTTTGTTGCCGTCCATCATAGCTTTGAAGGCTTGCCTACTACGTACTGTGCGTGGTGCTACACAATCTTTGCCTATTTCAATGGCAACGTCGACTTTCCTGTACTCGTATGTAGGCCAGGTCAGTGAGGGAGCGTACAGCAGAGATAGATGACATTGGGGATTTCATGGTAAAGCAGCTGTGGATGTGGAGGCCTGTTCCATTTCGTGTCGTTGTGACCTTGTTTTCTTCAGCAATTTGTATTTTTTCCTTTCCTCCTCATCTGGGTCCTGCCCCCAAAAAAGAAATTCAGTCACAGAAATCTAGAACTGTAGACAGTTGAAAAACTACAAATAAAAATGTAAAAAGAAATTACTTTATTTCTAACCTTGCCATCCAGGATCATTTGTTTCCGCTTGTTGATGGCTCTCTTTTCATCAATATCAAGCTCTTCAAGTTTCTGGGGGAAAATAGAATAAAGTATAGGATTCTTATAATTTCTAAATGAATACCGAATTACCTCCAAGGCAGGAGGCTCAATAAGTTGTGACTTGGACAAAGATAACTATAGGTATCAGTCACAGTAATCGAACAAGGAAATATTGTCACAGTCAATTTATTTTGACAGTCAAGAGCTGATTTTTTACTTAGCAGTTTTATAAATTCTGTTGAACCTAAATCTTCACTCACTGTTGTGTTAAGCTGAGACACAAAACAGAATTACATGTACATGTACGCCTAAAAAGTGGGTTGTGCCAAGATACTATACCCAGCTTTCAGCATAGTATGAGTTGCTGTTAGGTCAACTTTGTTTGTTATTACCAATTCTGCTTGTCTTTTCGCCAAAGCCACCTCATTTAGAATTGGCAGTACATTCTTCTTTTCATCCACCTTGAACTCGGTCAGCTTAGTGTCTGCAAAAACAAGTTCCCAAAAAATACAGACAAAATCAAAACAAATATTCTGTATACAAACTGGATTCCCCCCCCCCCCCCACAGAAGTGTGGTTGGGGTCAACGAACGAATACTTACCTGTAGAGCAATACTACTTATGCATATTCCCTATACCGGCAGGTATTTTCCGCTAAGAATTTTATACAATAGCGCCCTCTGGCGCCCTACCCATATTACCCCACGGCATGCGTGCCTCGTGAGCGTCCTCTTTTCTCAAGCGCTAAGTCGGAATACAAAATGTACTCATGGCATCGAGAAGAGTGGGGTAGGGGGAGGGATGCTCTACAGGTAAGTATTCGTTCGTAGACCCCAACCACACTTCTGTCGGGGGGAGTCTACTTCACTCAACTTACCTGTAGAGCAATCTACTTATGCATAGGCTAGCACCATCAAGGCAGTGGGTCATGCGAGATGCTATTGTTTACTCACATGGGCAAGAAATATGGAAACGTAACCCCAAATGGCCCCCACTGTTCCAACTGAAGGTGGACAGGGAGAAAATAACAAGAGATCTGCATGTTAAGGATATTAATTAACCTTACATGCCAACCGAGACGTCGGCCCTTGTTAGGAGGAAACGCCTCAGTAGACTGTATCCCACCGGTGCATAATGTACACAATGTACTCGGTGGTACAAAAAGACATTAAAGCATTATGACACAATACAGTCGAATCCTGAAAAGAAGAGTACTGTTAGTACAAGACACTTCTTATATTTTATAGCAAGCTGAAAAAGACTTCAAGCCAACTGTCCTTGTACAAGGTAACTGTTATAACAAGGTAATTCGTAAAGACCAAGAACCTTGTTATAAAGGTGTTTGACTATACATTTATACATAATATATTATGTAAAGGTAAATAGTCAGAATAAGGAGACTAACCTATTCTAGTGAAGTCCCCGGCAGGAGAGGGTCCTGTGGACATGATGATGCTCGGCTCGCCGCTCTCGGCACTGCTCTCCCTGCTCTGCCCTCCGTCTGGAGAACATCTTTCAAGTAGCACTCAGTGAAGGTGTTGGGGGTCTTCCAACATGCTGCCTGTGTGATGTCCCGTATAGAGACACCCTTAAAGAAGGCCCAGGAAGTGGAAGCTGCCCTGACCTCATGCGCATGGACTGATCCAATGGACTCGTTGTTGGTGCGTCCACCGCCGAGTTGATAGCCGTAAACCAACCAGCGGTCAATCGTGTCATGTGAAGCCGGTCGGAATGGTGGAATTGTTGTTATAAACAGTTGCGAATGGCCCATTCGGAGCATTTTTGTTCTATCAACGTACCATTTCAGGGCCCTGACCGGACACCAAAGCTTGTTGTGAGAGACAGACAAAAAGGATTTAATGTCCAGTAAAAAAATGTCGGGAGGTGAAAAGGATTCCGACTGATTTTTAGTCAGAAAACCTGCTTTAGGAATCAGGCGTACACCCCCTGGTTCCCACCTGATGTCACCTATCTCCACAGTATAAAGTGAATGTAGTTCGCTACGTCGCCTAGACCATTGGTTCAAATGGGGGTCTCGATAAGGTTGATAAGACAGTAAAGAGATCCCATGCTGGTAATAGCTTACGCATTGGCGGGCGTGAAACAAACATCCCCCTGAGGAGTTGGCAGAGATTCTGATTATCTGACGCTGAGGAACCATCCGAAAAGCCTCCATGAATAGCTGCTATAGCAAAACAATAATTCTTAATGGTGGCCGTAGTAAGGTCACTTTCAAAGAGGTATACAAAGAAGTCTGCAACCCCCCCTACATAAGTATCGGAGGAATGCAGAGATCGGGTTCTACACCATTTTTACCCCTCAGCCGAGAGGCTCGAGGGGTATTGTCATCACCTAGGGCGTCCATCCGTCCGGGCAGCTTAATTTCCGGATGATAACTTCAGTTAGAAATGTTGTTTGGGATTGTAACTTTGGTAGGGGGTTGCCCTTGGGAGAAGGCAAGTTGGGATTGGTTTTGGGGTCAAAAGGTTAAAGGTCAAGGTCACCGTGGTGAGTTTAAAGTAAATGGTTTCTGGATAACTTCAGTTAGAAATGAGATTTTGGTGTCTAACTTTGGTAGAGGGTTGTCCTTGGAAGTAGGCAAGTTGGGATTGGTTTGGGGGTCAAAAGATCAAAGGTCAAGGTCACAGTGATGTGTTAAAGGTAAATGGTTTCCGGATGATAACTTGAGTTGGAAATGAGATTTTGGTGTCTAACTTAGGTAGGGGGTTGCCCTTGGATACAGGCAAGTTGGGATTGGTTTGGGGGTTCAAAGGTCAAAGGTCAAGGTCACTGTGGTGAGTTAAAGGTAAATGGTTTCCGGATGATAACTTGAGTTGGAAATGAGATTTTGGTGTCTAACTTCAGTAGGGGGTTTCCCATTGGTACAGGCATGTCAGGATTGAATCTGGGGTCAAAGGTCAAGATCACCATTTTGAGTTAATGGTTTCCGGATGATAACTTGACTCTGGCTGAGGGGTTTCAACAGCAACGCTGTTATTTTTTAAAATGGCGTAATCTACTGTCATAAATTTTCCTGGTAGACACTCGCCGGCTGCAGACTGCAATGGCCGCAGCTCGTTCAGAAAGGCCCGCCGTGCGGAGGAATCGCGTGATAATACCCAGCACGTCAGGTGGAGATCCTCCGGGGCCGGGTGAAGAAAACCCGAGCTGGGCTGGAACAGGATGTCCGCTCTCTGCGGAAGAATCACCAGGCGGTGAACCAAGAGTTTGATGAGTCTTGGGAACCATGGCTGACGGGGCCAAAAAGGGGCTATGAGGAGGACCTTGCAGTCCTCTTGCTCCAACTTGGTCAGTACCCTAGGTATGAGGGAGAACGGGGGGAAGGCATAGGCAAGTAATCTATCCCATCGTATCGCCAGTTCATCTGTCTGCCATGCGTAGGGGTCGTTGATCCTCGCGCAGTAAACCGTTAATTGGTGGTTGCTCCAAGAGGCATGAGGCCGGTCGATCAGTAGGAAGAGCGACTGGACAATCTGAGGGCGCAACGTCCATTCCGTTGGAACAACCCACCCCCTGGAGAGAGTGTCGGCTGTGACGTTCTCCTCACCTGGGAGATGAATTGCCAAGAGTGTGACATTGTGGCGCATACACCAATGGAGGAGTTCCCACATAAGCGCACACAGCTGGGCAAATCTCGTGCCCCCTTGGCGATTGATGTAGGCCACCACTGTGGCATTGTCACATTGTTGCATCGAATGCGGACTACCTGGCCCATCACTGATGTCTGAAAACGTTGGAGAGCATTGGTGACTGCCAGCATCTCCAGTGCGTTTATGTGTTTTGAGTAGTTTTCGGGGCCCCACCGACCCGCTACTTGGCGCGGGTGGAGGTTGGCCCCCCAGCCAGAAGGTGACATGTCTGTTGTGATGGTCACCGACGGTTTGGGATTGTGAAAAATGCGCCCCTCCGTGAGGTTGGCACTGTCGAGCTACCAACGGAGGTGCGTAACTATAGCCAAGGCGTAGTCGCCACCAGATGATGTATGTGGTGACGACTGGGATGATAGAACGACAGCAGGTGCAGTTGGATGAGGCCCATCCTTAGCCTGCAAAAATTCACAACGTCCACCATACTGGCCATGAGGCCAAGCAACCTGAGCCAAGCCTGTGCTGGGGCCATGGTCGTCAGGAGAAACAGAGATACACACCGCTGAAGGTTCACAATCCGTTCCTCCGTAGGACAGGCCAATCCTCCCAGAAAGATTGGGAATTGGGATGGGCGTGGGTGGGACTTCTCGGCGTTGATGATAAACCGGAGGTCCGATGCAAGACGCCATGTCAGGTTGAGTGCCGCTGACGTTGTCGCCTGAGATTGATCAACAATGATCCAGTCGTCAAGATACATGAAGATCATCACACCTTGTTTTCGTTGCACGGCCCGACTGACTTCACTATACGCGTGAAGACTCGGGGTGAGGTGGAGAAGCCAAATGGGAGCACCATGAGCTCGTATTGGACATCCTTGTACTGGAAACGAAGGAATTTCCGATGATCTGGTCTGATAGGAGTGTGTAAATACGCGTCCTTCCGATCTAGGCTGGCTCCCCATTCTGAGCGTGTCCATGCGAAAACGTCTTGGCCGAATGAACTTGTTGAGGGGCTTTTAATTCAAGATTGGGCAACATGAAGCCCGAATGCGTCTCTCCTGAGGAGGGAGTTGATCTCCCCTTCGAGGGAGAGGCGTTTCGTTTGGTCGGACGGAACTACCGTTGGACGAACGAGCATGTCCAACGGGGGGTGCTTGAAAACTCGAGTGCGTATCTGCAACTGATTGAGTCGAGCACCAACCGGTCGAACGTAATTAAAGCCCAGGACCCCGCAAAGTCTCGGAGACGGCCTCCGACAGGTCCGACCGCCAAGAGTCTAGTAAGTCACTTGCGCCAGCCCCCGGGGTAGGGGGCCAACGCCCGACTGGGGCCGTTGTTGTCCGGAGAACATGCAAGCTTGCGTGGCGCGCGCACCGGAAGTGTTGTCGGTGCGGCCCGAAAACTACCACGACTAGATTTCAGTGGTGCGACAAGGGATAACAAACAATTTGCACTTACCCCATTGTACTTTGGTCGTTGGGGTTGGAGGCTTCTTGAAGTTGATCTTTTCAGTAGCCTTCAGACGTTTGGCCTCATCTCGCATATGGTCCTCGAATTTCCCGGCACAGAGATCTTTCCCAGTCAAAGGGAGAGTCTCAAATCTCTTGCGGGCACCCTGCGACGGGAGGAACAGCCCATCGAGCACGTTACCCCGGCAGGTGAAGGTTGCCAAAGCCGACATGCTTGCGAACTGGTCAAGCACGGAGCGTAGGCCATGATCGAGGCAATGAAGGGCCGCAGTCAGCATGTCCGCTGGAATCGGCGAGTCGTCCTCATAGCCTAAGGCCAAATATTCCGTGAGGAGAAGCAAGAAAGAAGTTGAACGCAAACCAAAATGGGAAGCTGAGTCCATCTTCTTCAAAGTGTCCTCAAGCTTGCCCCGTGTCCTGTCCACGAAGGGCCGCTTGGATGACAAATTTCCCTAGGCGTGGTGAAATAATTAGTCAAATCCTCATGCGGGAAACGATAGTAATCTCGTTCCCGCCTGAGAAATGGACGCCATCTGTTCGTTGACATAATTTTGTCAGTGTGTTCCACACACACTTGATCCAATGGGAGTATGGGGAACACCTTGTCACCGTTAGATGTGGAGCCCGTCCTACACTTGAAAGATTTATGATCAGGCGAAGGGGGCTCATCGGTGGAGGGTAATTTTAGTACCTCTATCATATCCCTCTGCACCAAACGGAGTTCCGTTTCGGCGATGGACAGCCGCTGTAAATGGTCTGGTTCTTCATCATCATCGACCGATGAATTCGCCGATTGTGAGGGTCGAGTTGACTCCGGTGAACGAGAGCCATCTGGCGGGGCGAGTTGTACAGAACCACGCAGTGGTGGCTGGTCAACTCCCTCGGAGACAAAAGACATCGATGGGTGAAGACTCAACCCAGGAGGGGATCCCGGTGCACGTCTAATTGTGTGCAGTAAATCCCCATGTCTTTGGTCCACCCAACCAGGGCTCACGGCCGACGCATGTGAAGCGCTCGCTGTAGACCGGGCCTCCGGTGTACGACCAACCACATGTGGTATTTCTCGTTGTGCTTGGGCCACCCAACCGTGACCAATGAATGACGATTGTGAAGCATTCACGACTAACTGTGTGCGGGAAGTCCCTTTGTTCCCAGGCCATCCAACCGTGACCGGTGACTGAAGACTGTGAGGCGAGACTAATGACCGATGGTTGTGGGGCCTAGCTCGCCACTTCAGGGGGGCCAGCAATCGGGCCCGTCTGGCGGCCTGCAGACATAGCCGATAGCGTAGCTGAAATCAACTGAAAAGCCTGCAGGAAATCGGACCTCGAAATCGAGTCCTTACCTCGGGAGCATTTGCCCCGGTGGGATCGGTCAGAGGAGCCGTCAGATTCTGAAGAAAAACGGCGTGATCGGCGATCAGCTTCTTCTTCTTGTTCTTTTTCTTTGAAGAAAGGCCCCGGAAAAAACAGATGACCCCTGGGGCACCGGGACCCCCGAACAACGGAAAAAATTCGATGACGAGAATGGTCCCTCAGAGCGAGAAAGAACAGGGGCCATGGGGCCGGGGACCCCCGGGCGACCGGCTCCGCGTCGCTCATAGTATACCTGGCCGACAGCGCTTCAGGCCCCGTGGGCTGAGCGAGTGCTGGTCGGTACGATAGCCCGTGCAATAGCCCGTCCCGGCAACCAGTGGTACTTGTCACTGTGTCGGGAGGGCACGGGTGACTAGAGCCCACCGAAGCATGGCTGTTAGTCCCCTCGGCTGCCCCGTGTTCGGGGAAAGGCCGGGCGGTATAGCGGTGCTTGTACCCCAGCCATGCTTGCCCTGACAGCCCTTTTTAGGCTTTGCTCCGGCACAGGAAGTATGTTTTATAGAAACCTTGCCAGAGCGTGCCTTTTGTTTGGATGTTCCGCTTGAATTGACCGGAGAAGACCGAGATCTTATTAACTGGTCAACGGAACTGCCAATGCCCCAGCCGGCAGTGGCTGAGGGTGCTGGACGAGGGACTGCTGCCGCGGTAACGATGCAGCGTTGACGGCAGAGTCCCCTGCGAACTCGGTCCTTCCCATGGGAGAGCAATTCTCCCCGGTTTGTGACAGACCGGTCCTCCCCAAACGCTTCATAATAATCGAATAAATATAACAAATAAATCAAGGAAACGATGAAACACCTTACAAACTGTTGTTTAATCAAAAACTTCACTTATAAGGCAAAAAGAGGGTAGTAAGGAAAAACAGGAGTTATTTAACCCACGTCCTACCCGACCTGCCGCTAAGAGAAAAGAGGTCGCTCACGAGGCATGCATGCCGCGGGGTATTATGGGTAGGGCGCCAGAGGGCCCTATTGTATAAAACTCTTAGCAGAAAATACCTGCCGGTATAGGGAATAAGCATAAGTAGTATTGCTCTACAGGTAAGTTGAGTGAAGTAGACACGAACATTTTATAACGTTCAGTAGCAAATAAAGAAAACATATCAAACTTTTCAGTGCTGAACCCATATTATTCGCACATTGTGTTTCCGCAAAGCTTTCATTCATTAGTATCTTCACTATGCAAAGCCTCAAATCTTACGAATCCATAATAGAACTGTTTAATTAACTGCATGTATGTTGTCTTTTCCCCCCAATATTTACGTACTGATGAGTTTTTCAACAGCTTTGATCAGCTGGACATCAAATTGTGTGACAAGGGTTATCGCCATTCCTCCTCTTCCTATCGCAAAAGAAAAAAGAGCAAGATTAGGTCAATTGCAGTTGACCTACACCCATTGTGAATCACGGATAATAATAACTACAGATAATGGTTGTTTTGATTGTCTATTATATGGATATGAAAATGATAAAACTGCTGCAAACTGCTTTCTGACTGGTTTGACCTGAAATATAAAAATCAACAAAATGTATGCGGCCTGACATTGCAATCTTAAGATATTCTTCAGAGGCAAAACAACAGAGGTACAAGAAACAAACATGTCGGGACTCACAAGCATGCAGGGTTGGGAGGAGAAACACAAAAGAGGGATTAAATAGAGGACAGACCATTGTGGGTGAAGGTCACAGGGAAAGGAGTAAAAGAACGAACCAAGGACGGATAAAATAAGGGACAGACTAAGAGGAATTAATTACGTGACAGACGAACACGGGTGACGATCACATGTACAGGGAGTAGAAGAACGAATGAAGGACGGACAAATAAACAAGGACTAAAAGAACAAACAAAGGAGTGCGATGGTGGGTAATGTACAAAGTGGCTGGGGTATAGGAGGAGAAAGGAGTGTATGAATGTGATGGTGAATGGGGTAAAAGAAGGTGATAATTGGGGAGGGGGGAAAACAGTAGAATGAGGCAAAGGGTAAAGTGGAAAGGAGGGGGCAACAAAGGGGAAAATAAACCCCAAGACACTGGGCTAGCCACGGGATTATCTGTAACAAATGTCAATGGAGGACGAAATGGAAAGGTTAATCATTGCCTAGCTGGATGTTGAGCTCAAGTGGTGGAATAGTCCAAAGATGATTCATCTACACTTTCTCCCTGCTGAAGCCAACTGAGTCCTTGCAATGGCCAAGTGATTCTATGCCCTGTAAAATCATATCAGAAATGGAATGGTGGTTAGGCTGGTTGAAGTGGTGACCAACAGGGGACGTCCAGTCTCTTGGTGTTGACAGTCGATCGATGAGCAAAGAACCGCTTTTGTAGCGTGTTTTTGATATCACCGACGTACATTTATGGCACTCCACAGACCCTGCAAGATATGTAATGTGGATAGTACAAAATTAATTATCCAAAAACCATTTTATGCAAATTAAAAATCTTTAATGACTACACATCTGGTTTTACCATAAGTAACCAGAAGTAAAGGTCACATGACCCTGATATCAAAGGAGGCACACCTTCAGGCCAATATACAATGTAATGCAATTTGCAATAAACTAGGATCAAACCAGTATCTTACTCATGGTAGCCACAAGATCACCATACAAAAAACTGTATGGTAATAATTATGTAATATGTTTATCTTTGAATATTGCTACATGCTCATGTGAAGCATCAATCCCGTTAAATAATTCAGAAGCTACAATAATTAGGGTAAAAAAGTAACACTTTCAGTAAAACCAGAAGTAAGGGTGACAAGACCTTGACTTTCAGGCCAATATAATGCAATTTGCAAAGGACTAGAATAATAACTTATCGCATTGTTGAGATATGGTGAAATATGTAATTGCCTCATTAAATATTCATGATTTCATAACATTCAAATAATTAACTGCACGTTGATGTTAATGTCATTTATCTTTGAAAATTGCTTCATGCTAATAAATGTATAAGGTAAATACCCCCATCAGATTGATAATTTGTGAGATATGATGATGAGAATCTAAAATTAACACTTCCAGAAACACTGGAAGTAAAGGTCACTTGACCTTGCCGTTTTAGCAGGCACACCTTCAGGCCAATATAATGCAATTTGCAAAGAACTGGTATCATACCTAGGCATATTGTTGAGATGTACCTGGTGGCCACAAAATTGTCTCATTAAATATTCATGATGCCAACATTAGAACAATAAACTACGCAGTAATAATCATTTAATATATGTATCTTTAATTGTTGGTGAATGGTATGTAAAGTATCAACCCCACCAAATTAATAATTCGTGAGATATGATAATTAGGGTTTAAAATTAACACTTTCAGTAACACTGAAAGTAATATGGTCACATGACCTTGACGTTCCAGCAGGTATGCCTTCAGGCCAATAATGCAATGTGCAACAAAGTGGAATCATACCTTTTTCGTATTGTTGAGTTATGGTGGCCACAAAATTGCACAAATTATGACATTCATGACGTCACAAGAGAATTACGTAATCCATCATCTTATTACTTTAAAAATGAAGATAACTTCATGTAATAGATACATGTAATGTAAAATTTGAGGCAAAACAGCTGGACAGATCTCAGGATGTAGGAGTAGGCATATATATTTTTGGTTACTATTACGTAACAAATGATTTTTATCAATAACACATCCCTGTCTATGAACCTACACAGTTTGATGTCAACCGGTCCAACAATTTTTTTGTTATCAGACTGTAAACATGTGGTTTTGTCACAATGCATGTATTTTGACAAAATCCTTTATAATCAGGGAGACATGTACACAGGTTAATGTTATGAAGTGAGCTTGACACTAGCACATGTAGTCCGGTCAATTAACGGTTTGACCTAGACCAAATTGCAATAGAAATCATTTTAACACTCTCACAAGAAGGAAGAATCACTAATTAACATACTAAAAATCTAATGTTTTATGGAGTGGAAAGGTGGGGTTTTTTTCAAAGCAACTTTTTGTAGATTAAAATTTGAGTGTTTTGAGCTAACTTGCGATAAAGAGTTTATTGTTGGCGTATAACATAAATATAATTATATATTAAAAGCAGTATTATGTTGTGATTTGGTGAATATTTAGGCCTTTGACAGGACTATTTCCCGTTCAGAATTTCACACGGGCAGAATGGAAGTACACATAGCGGTAGTTGGCAAGTGAATTCCCCCCCCCCCCCCACAGAAGTGTGGTTGGGGTCTACGAACGAATACTTACCTGTAGAGCAACACTACTTATGCATATTCCCCCTACCGGCAGGTATTTTCGCTAAGAGTTATATACAATAGCGCCCTCTGGCGCCCTACCCATAACACCCCGCGGCATGCGTGCCTCGTGAGCGTCCTCTTTTCTCGAGCGCTAAGTCGGAATACAACAAAGTACCCAAGGCATCGAGAAGAGTGGGGTAGGGGGGAGGGATGCTCTACAGGTAAGTATTCGTTCGTAGACCCCAACCACACTTCTGTGGGGGGGGGAGTCTACTTCACTCTACTTACCTGTAGAGCAACACTACTTATGCATAGACTAGCACCGTCAAGGAGGTGGGTCATGCGAGATGCTATTGTGCTTTCACAGGGGCACGTAACAATACGCGTAAACCCTGGATGGGCCCGTCGCTCCACATGTGGGTGGACAAGGCAGCCCAAAAAGGTCGGCATGATAAAGACATTAGTCATAATGGTAGCCTCAACATGCCAACAGAGATGTGATCCCCGTGGGAATCACACGTAATGAATTACAGCCCACCGATACCTACACATAAGAGTTCGGTGGGGCACACAAGATAAAAATTATCATGAAAGGCAAAACATCATGACAGGTACATATAGACACTATAATATGCACATGTACATGTACAGAGTTCAATAAAGAATCAGAGTTAGGAGACACCAATGCTGGGGAGGTCTCCGGTCTGAAAATGTCTTGAGAACATAGTGGGGCTCAGTCAGTCGCCCTCAACACTGTTCTCCCATGCTCTGCCTTCTATTTTGTGCATGCGGACCAATCACACGGATTCTGCCGTTGATATGTCCGTGGTTGCATGGATGACCGTAGCCAACCTTCAGGCAATCTTGTCATGAAAGCCTGCAGGTATGGTGGGGTCACCATGATAAATACATGTCATGAAAGGCCTGCCTGTATGGCAGGGTCGTCATGACAAAAAACATGTCACGAGAAGCCTGCTTGTATGGCAGGGTTGTCATGACAAATACGTGTCGCGAGAAGCCTGTTGGTATGGCAGGGTTGTCGTGACAATTACATTTGCAACTGCAAGTGACCGATTCAAAGCGTCCCAGTGCAGCTAATGTACGACGTTTAAGTCATGATTGGCACCAAAAATTCTCCGTCTGTACAAGAATGATTTGATGCCCGGAACAAAGACGTCCGGAGGCCCAGAGGGCTCTGACGGTCCTTAGTATAAATCCCTCCTTAGGGAGCAGACATCAAGTCATGATCAGCACCAAAATTCGCTGTCTGAAACGGACAAGAATCATTTGATGCCCAGAACAAAGACATCCGGAGGCAAAGAGGACTCCGACCGTCTTAGCTCAAAAAACCTTCCTTAGGGATCAGACGCCAAAGTCATGAGCGGCACCAACATTTTCCATCTGGAATGGACAATGATTTGATGCCTAGAACAAAGATGTCCGGAGGTAAAGAGGACTCCGACATTCTTAGTTAAAAAAAAAAAAAAAAAAAATCCTCCCGTAAGGAATCGGATGGGCACACTTGGTTCCCATCAGATGTGGTCCGTCTCCATTATACAGAAAACAGATGTTTACTACATGTATACCAAGAAGTAACAACTGCTTACAAAACAGAAAAGAAAAAAGGCAACCATAGGAACCAATGAAACAGATGTGAGATTGTTCACTGGTTCACAGAACTCTAAAGATCTCTATAACACTTTTGGATAAGAAGGTGTTGAAGAGGTCCTGCAATTCAGGGGTGTTAAAACATCCCCTTAAGTTAACTGACACGGACGTTCAACTGACTAACATTAAGTAATCTACTGTCATGTTAGAAGTCCCTCAAGTGCAGGCTGTAAAAGCCATAGCTTGTTTGAGAAAGGTCTGATGTGAACAGGAGAGCATTACAGTATCCAGTACATCAGGAGAAATTCCTGCGGAGCTGGGTGAAAGAAACCCAAGCTGTGCTGGAACAGAATATTGTTCTGCTCGGAAGAACATTTGTACCTCCAACTGGTGAACCAATGGAATGGTTATAACCCTGGAAAACCAATCAATGAGGTCAACATGGAGTTAAGAAGAGGACCTTGTCATCCTTCTGCTCCAGTTGATTAAGTACCCGAGGAATAAGAGGAAGACGA